TTGAATCATGGCTTTACCAATTATTATCTTATCATTTATTAAAATATCCGAGCTTCAATTTCCTTAACTGTCTAAGATGGTGAAATATCTCTCCAGTAATATCTGAACACACATGCACACACACACACACACACACACTTATCCCTTATGAAACGAACAAAACAAAACAAAACCAAAAACAAACCAACCAAACTAACCAACCAACCAACCAGACAAATATTTAAAAGTGTTCAGCATTGTTTTTGCTAGTTTCGTGTTACCTTGACACAAGCTAAAGTCATTTTGGAAGGAGGAACTTCAGCTGAGAAAATGCCTTCACTATATGGTTTCTAAGCAATCCTGTGGTGCATTTCTTTGATTGATAATTGATGTGGGAGTGATCATCTCACTGTGGGTGGTGCTACCCCTGAGCTAGTGGTCTTGGGCTGTATAAGAAGGCAGGCTAAATGAGTCATAAGAAGCAAGCCAGTGAGCAGCACTCCTCCGTGGGCTCCATCTACATCACATTTCTTGACTTGAGTTCCTGCCTTGACTTCCCTCAGCAAGGAATGTGACCCAAGAGTTGTGAGCTGAACTAAACCCAGAGTCCTCCTCAAGTTGATTTTGGTCATGATGTTTTACCACAGCAATAGAAACCTGAACAAAGACAAGTATGCAACAGCCAGCCCATGAATAGCAGATACATTGCCTGAGTGTTTTCAGACAATGTTCTTGAAGAACACATGCTCATGAACACTTTAAATAAAAGAGGCAGAGAAACTTTCTCAATTGTGTCTTACTACTTTGTAATAGTACCATTGTAAACACCTTTATTGGGAACAGTATTTATATAGATACTTACAGCTTACAAAGCACTTTTGTAAGTGAGGACTATATCCCCACTCCCAGTAAGCCCCAGATTAATCATTTCTTGTTATATTCCTGTAATAATTATCCTGGAATCCAGTTCTTCTGTCAAGATGCTTAATAAGTAGCAATAATGATCCATGCCACCTCCTAAGGAGGCTGTTAAAAACCTCAAAAGTTTTGTTGGCATTTTAAGTTTGTATTTTTAGAAATACTTGACAGTAAAAATTGGACAGATAGAATTAAACCATTGACCAGCGATTCTCCAACCGAGTCTTAGATTTCTGAAACAGAGATCTTCTCTGGGTAGGATTTTTTTCTTTCTTTTTCTTTTTTTTTGCTATATTAATTATTATTATTTAAAATTTCCACCTCCTCCCCTCCTCCCATTTTCCTCTTCCTCCCCCCACTCCTCCTCTCCCTCCCTCTCCAGTCCAAAGAGCAGTCAGGGTTCCCTATCCTGTGGGAAGTCCAAGGTCCTTCCCCCTCCATCCAGGTCTAGGAAGGTGAGCATCCAAACAGACTAGGCTCCCACAAAGCCAGAACATGAAGTAGGATCAAAACCCAGTGCCATTGTCCTTGGCTTCTCAGTCAGCACTCATTGTCAGCCACATTCAGAGAGTCCCCTTTGATCACATGCTCCCTCAGTCCCAGTCCAGCTGGCCTTGGTGAGCTCCCATTAGATCAGCCCCACTGTCTCAGTGGGTGGGTACACCCCTCGTGGTCCTGACTTCCATTATTTGTCATGGGAAGAAAGGGTCACAGATTTATGAGCATGCCACCTACTTTATAAATATATATTTACACTTAGATTTTTCTAATTGTAATACAAATCTAAGTTTTGCATCTCCTCTGCATCTGCTATTGAATTCTTTACTCAGCAGACCAAGAACCTCTTGTGTTCTTGGTCCAATGACACTTGGTTAAGTTCCAGTTTGTTGATTATGGCCATGGAGTTACGTTTTAAAACACAAATTATAAAACAAACAAACCCCCAAGAAATACCATATTCTGGGTCTCTGACATTTAAGAACTGAGAATTGAACAGCATTGGATCAACACTGGTGCTGAGCCTTTCCCCAGTCTGCTCCCAGAATCTTTATACAGATTGGTGTTTCTGCATCTTTCATTTTCTTTTATCACGTCTATTATTTCTTGATCTCTGCCTTCCAGGAGTTTTGAATCATTTCTTAGCTGCATCAGTATTTACATATCTCTTATTCATAACTGTAATTTGTAATAGGACCTCTGATCATTTCAATTCCATTTGCATAAAATATTTTGATTCTCATAATAATGTCATATGAGATGAGGAAATCAAGGCATGAGCTTATGTAATGTGCCTGAGAACACTTTAAATTAGTGACTAAACAGAGAATCTGAATCTGGGGCTCACTTTGGTCTTGTGACTACTATATCACCTAGTAAGCACAGGGAGCAAAGTTGAATTTAAGAATGGATCTTTCAGTCTACTACAAACCATCATAATTTCTGCAGAAGCATGGGCCCAATGTATGACTTCCTTGACAGAAAGAGATTTCCAGATGGGCTAGTTAGCTATGTTGCCATGTAACTGTAAATTTTCCAAAAAGAATTTTAATACTCTTTCATCTAAATTTTATAGTTTTTCTGCATATTCTCCCAGATTCTACAGGTTATTTTTTTAGCTTGGGATACTATGTCTGACCTGCACCAGCTCAAGTAGGACAGGGTGAAAGGTGGAAGACGGAGGGGGTGCTGCCTCTTAGGGAATAAAGAGAGATGAAAATATGTTAAATAGGGATTGAGAGAGGGTTCAAAAGTCAAAAGCACTTGCTGTTCTTCCAAAGAACCTGAATTGTTTTCCTAACACCCATATCAGGCAGCTCACAACTGTCTGTGATTCCAGCTCTAGGGGATCAGGTGCCTCTAAGCCACAGGCACCTGTCATATAGACATATACACCTTCACATAAATAAAAATAATGAAACTCAACATTAAAAAGGAATGTGTTAAATATTTCTGCTGTTTCCATTACTTAAATCATCCTAATCATAGAATGACCCAAAATTTAAAAGATACTAGCATTCCCTCTTTTATTCAATGCCTCCAAACAGAAATACTTAAAATGCCTCTGGACCAAGCCAAAAAATAAAACAAAACAAAAACAAATAAATAATCCGGTAATTATAATTCAATTCAAAGTAATCAATTAATAAAATGTACTTATTATCAGCTAAACATATTTTACATTCTTGGGGCTAGGGAGATAACTCAGCAAAATTTTTGCCTTGTAAACATGAGGGCACAATTTCAATGTATAAAAGCCAGGAAGGATGGCATCTAATTAAAATCTCAGTGCTGGAGAGGCAAAGTGAGAGATGAAGATATCTGAAGCTTATTGACCCTCCAGTCTAGCTATATTGACAAGTTTTAGGTTCAGCGAGAGAGAGCTTGTCTCAAAATCTAAGGTGGAGCATGATAAATGAAGATATCTCTTGCCTACAGGCACATCCACCACATACATACACATATGTACAGTATCATGCAATACACAGATCTATATTTCGATTCTATCTTTTTGAGGTGCTGGGGCTTGACCCCAGGGTTTTGTATATACTAGGTAAGCCTTCTACCACTGAGCTACAGACATTCAGCATGTCTTTTGAAGACTCAAGTTTTGTATGATCTCATAATATGTTAGTTTAAAAGTTTATGAATGGATAAGAAAATATTTCATCAATATCAATATCAACTAATTGATAGGCATCTATTGTGTCTGGTGATGTTGAGCCCAGCTGTTATGTCAGACATTTCCTGCTGATTTTAAGTCCTTCTTTGTTTTCAGACAGCAATCTAACCCGCTAGGGTCATAACACTCTTATTTTGAAATGGGACTGTGCCATCTACTTTCCAGCATTTAGTGTGAGAATTGACTGAGAATCGTTGGTGGTTTACTATGTCTTGAACACTAATTTGAAACTTTTACCCATTATTGTACTTAGTCGTAAGAGCAATCCAAAAACATGCATGCCATCTGTCATTTTTTTTATAGTACATGTCCCCACAAGATTGATGGTTGAGGTTTTCTCTCAGTTGGCAGGACTCATCCCTCCGCAGTGATTGGATTGTGAAGGCTTTCCTTCAGCCATGACTAAAGCCTTCGATAGGTGAATGATATAATGATGTGGGAAGGGTTTGGGGAGTCAGGCTGGAGAAGTACGTCATGGAGGGTGTGTCTTTATTTATTTATTTATTTATTTTTATTTATTTATTTTTATTTATTTTTGGTTTTTCGAGACAGAGTTTCTCTGTGGTTTTGGAGCCTGTCCTGGAACTAGGTCTTGTAGACCAGGCTGGTCTTGAACTCACAGAGACCCGCCTGCCTCTGCCTCCCAAGTGCTGGGATTAAAGGTGTGCGCCACCACCGCCCAGCTGAGGGTGTGTCTTTAAAGGATTCATCTTGTTCTGGATCCTTCCTTCCACTCTCTGTTTTCTGCCTGCCATCAGCTGCTGGAACTCTCCTCACCAAGTCCTTCTGCCATACTGGTCATCACAGAGTCAGAAACATGGAGTCAACTCACCATGAACTAAAACCACTGAAACTGTGGAAATCAAATTTTCTTCTTGAAGCTGTTTATCTCTGGTATCTGTCACACGGGTGAAAACCTACTGACAGTCTTATTATCCTCACTTTTGGAGACAAGAGAATTAAAGAATAGAATGATTTAACATAGAGACTTGCCAAGGCCCACCACCTAGAGATTGCCAGAGTGGGTGCTCAAACTTATCTACTTCAAATGTATATGCTCTTAATCTGTTCATCTTCCCTATCATAGGAGAACTAAGACCAACAAAGAGTTATTTGAAAATGTATTTTAGATAGTTAATACATGAAAGAAAAAGGGTTTCTTCATTCAAAGAAGGATAGGTTTCAGTAAGGAGGAAGTAAGAATATTGAGACTAGAGAGCGGGAGGAGACTAACAATCACATTGTAGACTGTTTTACATCATGTTTAAAAGCTCAAAAGACCAGGAAGACCTCATGCTGGTGGCATATCAGGAGGTTCTGCATGGACACTCCTGTGTGCATGCAAACATGCCTTCAGAGTGCTGGTGAGGTAGCCAGTGTGGTTGAAGGAAGAAGGTTAAGGAGAAGTCCGCCATACACATACCTACATTCAGACACTTCACAGTTACTCCAGCGAGGATTATCTGGCTAGTGGGTGTCCCATGCTCTCGCCTCACCTTCTACTTGTCCTGGGAAGTTTTCTCTTTGTGAACACCTGGAAAGTAATTATTACAATTGATTTTTAAAAAATCGTTTTCCTTAGTAGCTATGGTTAAACATTGCTTGCGGAAATAGACATATTTTTGATGAAAAACAGCATTTACCCCTATGGTTACTCCAGTATTTTTGCTAAACAAGTGTTTGATAAGGGGCATAAATCACAAAGTGGATCTTAATCCCAGAATACAGTACACAATTATTCATTCTACTTGACTGGGAGAGGATTTAAAAATGGGGATGCTCATGTGCACTTCCAAATGTTGTTATCAAGAAGAACTTGGTTTCTTCTCTGGACCCCCAGACTTTGAATGTAAGCATGGCTAGATGCATTCTCTTTAAAAATGCTACATCTTGTGCATCTCTGTGCTGACCTTTTTATAGACATGGTGATTCTCCACATCAATCATTCCTATCTTTGGCTACAGGCTACCAGGAGACAAAAGAATTCTCTAGCTTCAGAGTGCGTGTTTGAATCTAAAACTAAAACGTATGAGAGGCTAAAAACAAGAGATGGATGGGATAGACGAAAGACAACTAAACTGGAAAAAGCTTTTGAAGGTAACAGTCACTTTATTGGGTTACTACTTAGAACATGGGTGACTTATACATAGATTGTGGAAAATAAACACATCATTATCACCAGCCTAGATCAATAAGAGTAGGTACAAAATCCCAAGGAGCCCAGAAATCCATCTTTATTTTAGTGCAAAGGATTCTAATATCTTTAAAACATGAAGCAAACACATATGCATGAATACACACAGAGACCCAGGAAATACATCCACAAGTTCCTTTTTTTGACTTTATTTTCCTTAATTGTTTGAGAGCTTAATACCACGTGCTTTGATCATATTTGTTTCCCCTTCCCACTACTCTTCCAAGATCCACACTCTCTTTTCTACCTACCCAACCTTCTTATTTAAAAAAACATCCTTCAAGACTCCTTTAGGCTGTCCAAATTCTTGGTTATGTGATCCTCCATTGAGGAGCAGACAGCTTGCCAAGGTACGACAACTGTCTCTCCTGCTCCCAGCAGCTAACAACTGCCAATAGGAACCTATGGCCCAGCACACATGTGATTTTTAGAAAAGTTATGGGTCTAAGAAAAAAGAAAAAGCTGTACATTTGGCTAATATCGGCAAATGACCTTGTTGAATTTCCTCACTGATTAACATATTGTCATAAATTATCTACAGTTCCCCCACTTGGGTTGTTGTCAATCCTCAGCCTCACAGTCACTGTGGAGCCTGTAATTCTAAAGCAATCAGGGAGGAACAAGTGTATTCAGTTACTCCAGGGCAGGTTACATGTCCATTGTGACTACCCAGTAGCCAGGAAACCAGTTAGTGCTTACGAGAAAGTGACATACTCCCAGACCTGCTGACCTCAGTAAGAAACAAAACAAAACCCAACAACTCAGATTCTCATTTTGTTTAATAAGCTAGAATTATTTTCCAAACATCCCAGATAAACAGAAATAATTATAATTATGAATAATTAAAATGTTAAACTGAAGAGGGCTCTCCACATTCATTGCACGGCGAGCTGGTCCCCTGAGGGCAGCATCTTCAATTAGTTCAGTTTTACAACAAAAGATTAATGTGACAATCACTGATTGCAGGTATTCGGTTCAAGTAAGAAAACAAGCTAATTCACGATGAATTCACCTTCCCTCAACGAGCCATGGCCCTACTCTCTTTGGCATTCAACGTCTCCTCTAATTCTAGGATAGAGAAAAGCAGCAGATAACAGAGGGGAGAAGAAATTTTGCCTTAGAAGCTGTGACTAGAAGATTGCTGGCTTCATCAGTTATTCCTCTTGGGGATTGAAGAAAGTAATCGGTAACAAAAAATGAGTGTGAAAAGCCAGCCTGGGCCAGTGATGGAGGAAGGTCATTGGTTAATTATAATAAAGAAACTGCTTGCCCTGATAGGTTAAAACATAGGTGGGAGGAGTAAACAGAACAGAATGCTGGGAGGAAGAGGAAGTGAGGTAAGACTCCTCAGACAGATGGGATAGCTCTGCTCTCAGAGGCACACGGGATGAAGCTCCAACCCCTGAAGGACGTAGGTTAAGAACTTCCCTGGTAAGCCACCTCGTGGGCTACAAAGATTATTAGAAATGGGCTAATCCAGGTGCGAGAATTAACCGAGAAGAGGCTAGATAGAAATGGGCCAAGCAGTATTTAAATGAATACAGTTTGTGTGTTGTTATTTCGGGTATAAGCTAGCAGGTGGCCAGGGTGCTGGGGACACAGCCCTGTCACTCCTTTTACTACAGGCCAGAGAGAGGGTTCAGTGACAAAGGTGCTGGCTAGGCAGCTGTGAGGACCTGGGTTGGGTCCCTGGAACACACATACCCTGGACACAGTAGCTTGGGAGGTGGAGGCAAGAGATTCCACAAGAGCTCACAGGTCAGTCATCCTAGAATTCTTACAGCAGTGTGAAGCAGGAACTGATCCTGTCCCCAAAAAAGTGGAAGATGGGAACAAACACTCCAGGTGTCCTCTCCCTTCCACAGGCATTCCATAGCACATGTGTGTCTACTCTTACATGTACACATACTGCATAAATGCATGTGTGTGTGTGTGTGTGCACATGTGTGTACTTACACAATAGAAAGTTATTTCAAGTGAATTGTATAAAATTATATGAGTGTATTTTCTTCACAGCATTTCTTTGATGTTACAAAGCCAGATGGTATGGTGCCCAGGCTGACTAACCACAGAATAATAATCTTCTTGCCTCCACCTCAAATTCTGGAATTCCAATCACCATGCTCTTTACTACAAGCATTTATTGTTATTTATGCTAAATGATCATTGCATAACACTGTAAGAACTCACAGATTAAGTCAAGAGGCTACATACAAATACTTTTGTATAGTCTCTCAGATATAATCTTTGGGCTAGGGTGGCCTACATTTATGAAGCCAAGTGTCTGTGTGTGTGCACGTATATGTGTGTGGGTGTGTGTGTGCACACGCTATCCCTCATTATCCCTTCAATTTATAATAGGATTTTCTTAAAAAATTCGAATTACAAATTATTCATATTTTTTATTAAGAGCTCTTTCTGTATATATATATTATATTGCATACATACTTTTAGTAAAATGTCTCCATTTTCTTTTTTCAATACTAAGTGGTATTTATTGCTGAATTTTTCTTAGATATTTATGGGAATAAAATAAATTTTAAGTTGTGAGAGCATTAGCAAGTAGAAAATAAAGCTATGCCTCTAAGTTCTAGTAATCAGATTTCTTCACTCAGATTCAACCAACATATTTGGCCACCCTGACCCCACAATGGCTACCAGCTACTGCATGTCAAACTCAGGAGGCACCTTCAGCTTTTCATTCAGTAGAGGAAAACTCATTAGACATATGGCATCGGTGGCTTCTGAACAGCGAACCTGGAGTTTTTCATTCTGATTTTAATGATTAGTTGTCTGAGCCTTGTATTTAACTGAAATGCTTGTTCAGATAACTTACACACAATTAGTTAGTTGAAGTTTGGGGCTACTGTGTCATACACTTTGAAACTAATTATAAGACCGCTCAAGAAGGGCTGTAAAATGAAGCGATACGTGTATCAGAACAAGTCTGCATTCATTGCTGATTTCAGCTGTGCACTCAAAGTTTTTATTAGGTGTCTCCAGCACAGCTATTATATAAAAGAGCCAAAGCTGGCATGCCCTTGACACTTCTGTTTTATGTAGGATACATACAATAATATTATTGCAGGTGGTCTACGACTAAGACAAAAACTATGCCAATTATAAAGGGTGTAAGCTTCAGAAATTAATTTTGTCTTAATATATTAAGGAGGACCTGCTGGCCAAAACAAATGATTCGTGACAACAGTGTAACCAGAAAATATTTTCAAGGACATTATTTTTTTTTACAGGGCCTTCCCTGGAGCGTGATCAGTATACCAAATATCACTCCATTGAAGAAAACTGCTTCAACATCTCCTAGAGTTTATCAGTTGTAATAACTCCTTGGTCAGGAGAGCGACTTTGTGCTGATTCCCCCTTCTCTATGCTGAGATTTTTTTCTAGCTTGAGTTTGAACCAAATTTAAATTGAAGTTATATAAAAAAAAACCAATATGGTCTGCACACATGGGAACTGGGGGAACATGGGTCATGAGGCAGAATGTGTTTCCTGGTCTATAAACTCTGAAGATCATCTAAATCCCTGCAGTAGCCAACTGGAAGCGGTTTCTTGCTGCATTGGAAACTACAGTCTTACTGTGTTGAGAATAAAAATCCATGAGGCCGTGTGTGCACCAGACCATTTATGGCTCTTGGTATTGTTTATTAGGGCACTGAGTTGAATAAATACTTAATGAGGTCGTATTAGGCCCATTTTCCAGATGAATGGTTCAAAGCTTGGAGGAGCTAAGGCATTTCTCTGGGCTCCTGAAATCAGTAAGGGGTGGAGGTAGGAGTCCAAGTCTCATTCCAGAGCTCACTGGCCCCAGGTTCTACTTCACAGAGCTGTGAAAGCATTCTCAAGGTAAGATGCCAGAAACTAGCATGACCACTTCCTCCACATCTGTCACCAATTCCACAGCAAAACGCTCTCCCTTGCTAAATTATTGCAAGTTAATGGAGACTAAAAGTATCACATATTTTGAGCATTCGCAACTAAGATTTGTTACCTCAGTAATCTTAATATTCTCTTGCATTAGTTCACTATCGGCTACGGTAATGAAATACTGACCAAAACCAAACCGTTGAGGAAATGGTTTATTTAAGTCTAAAGTTAGAGTCCATCATTGAGGGGAGTCAGGACAGGATCTCAACTGGAACCTGGATACGGGGACTGTAGTAGAGACTGTGTGCTACTTACTGGTCCACATTTAGCGACCCTTCTTATAACTTCCAGGACCACCTGTCTATGGGTGGCACTACCCACAGTGGGCTGATCCTTTCCACATCATTCTGTAATCTATAAAATACTCCACAGACGTGTCCATAGGGCAATCTCAG